TGAAGGTAGATCCCTGTAGTTCTCTGGACAGTCGTAGAACCTTGAGAGGCTAATGTTAATGAGCTTGCATCAAATCATATATCTGGCAAAGTCAGACAGGTCTGATTTCTCACTCTTTGGTGCCAACGTAACTTGTGGAACCCCTTGGGTGTGAAAGTTCTCTGGTGAAGAAGGGTGAGGTTTACCAGGATAAAATTATGTTGCACTTGCAAGAGCGTTTAGCTGTGGTGTAGACTCTAGGGCTTCTGCTGGCTGTAGCTTGAACTGTGGCTTGTCACTGGAAGTCACCTTGTCGTTAGCAGGAGGTGATGTGGTTTGCTGCGTAGATGCACTTGTGTTGTGGACTTGAAGAGCCTCAGTCATAGTGTTAGGCTCAATGTTCGAGTTCGACTCCAACATCGCTAGTTCATGTGTTCGGCGAACACACAAAATATCAGGGAGTTTGGCAGGCGGTTGGCCCACTGAGCTCCCCACAAAGCACTGCGCACAGTTGTCGAACCTTGAGAGGCTAATGTTAATGAGCTCACGGCGTATCATATATCTGGCGAAGTCAGACAGATCTGATCTCTCACTCTTTGGTGCCAAAATAACTATACTGGTATACTAGGATAGCTGTGGTGTAGACTCTAGGGCTTCTGCTGGCTGTAGCTTGAACTGTGGCTTGTCGCTGGAAGTGACCATGTCGTTAGCAGGTGATGTGGTTTGCTGTGTAGATGCACTTGTGTTGTAGACCTGAAGAAGCTCAGGCATTTGAATCTGAGAGGTCTCTGTGTTGAGAGTCAGAACAGTGTTGTTAGGAGGTACAGGAGACGACTCTGTATCGTTGCAGACATTATGCTTCAGCACATATTCACTAGTGCGTTCAACTGGGTCTTCCAGTTCTGCTGGGATAGAACAGTCCGAATTAGTAATTTGTCCTATTGATTGTTTAAGGACTTTCAGCCTTGCTAGGGCAGCTGCTTCCTTCTTTTCCATTTGCAGAATCTTTATTTGGAATTCCGCCTCTGCCTTTTCTGCTTCCTTTCTGGCAAATGAGCTTCGTACCTTATTTGTTTCCAGATTAGCGTGGGCTACTATTAGCTTGTCACTTAATGTTGAACTCCTGGAGTGAAAGGATCTAGAAGAACGTGCTGTGAGCTTGCTTGATGTGGATCTGTAAGATCTGGTCTCCTGCAGTTGAGCAATGCTGAGTTCTGCCTTATACTGAGCATTTTGCACTAGGAGATCTCTTTGTTGGTTTAGTGCATTAGAGTCCTGTAAGAAAGCTCTGTATTTTGCAGATGACCACTGGTAACATTCATAGGCAGCAGATAGGTGATCTATGTAGTCTCTTAATTCAGCTGATTGATCATTAAAGTGTGGCAAAACTGATATGCAGCGTGAAGTTCTGTCCCAGAGGTCTGACACATTGCTGGAGAACTCATTTCTAGTGGTCTCATAGTTTTCTCTGAGTTTCTGTGTTAGTTTTATTATGCGTTTGGGTCTTACGCTCTGCCAGGCAATATCTGCAGAATCTTCTCCCTGTAGGTCAGCAGGGTCAGAGGCATGATGTATCTGTGTTGGTTCAGCCATAATAGAGTGCTCAGAGCCTTGTCTAAACATTTTTTACGTTTTTGCAAAAAATGGTCACTGTCTCTTTAAGAAGACGAACAGCAGCGTAGACAGGTGGTGTAACAGTTCAATGCAGAGAAACAGTTTTCAACATTCACAGGTGAAGTGCAGTAAGCTTCTGCGACCATGTGCTTTCGCAAGATGGCGGATGGCACTGAGCTTGATAGCAGATTAGGCACACATATACACAGCAGGCTGTAGGAATCCTACATATCTCCGACTATTTTGACTCCGATTGTTGTATTAGCAATTTATCCCTTGCTGAGAGCTCTATGCCTGGCCTGTATAAGCAGATATAATCACTGCGGACAATCCTTATCGGATAGCTGAACTCACCAAATACCTTTTCATCCACAAAGTGCTTTATTGCATGCAGCAGGGTTACAGCAGACAACAGGATACAGCAGATGAATGAACAGCCGGTATTTGAAGGTCAGAGATGGTAATGTTTCCAAGCATGCAATGCAGAATAATATGTGGCCATGTTACAGTCAGCCATTTCGATGCCAGAAACTACAAGTCATGAAGAAGGGTGAAACATTACACACAAGGGGAGGGGATTCAGGAAAACATGGTGCAATAACCCAAAACGACCACAAGATGTCAGTATAATACCCAGCTATACAACCAGCTACAATACATGGCTTAAGGAAAATTAACTATGCAAATTCTCATTTCACATCAACATGAATATTAACCGTGACTATGCATTGTGTCATATTTTTAGAACTGTGTAACAGCACACTTTTTCATAGCTTTACTGAACAAACTGAAGATAAAAGCTGATTGGTTACTATGGCAACTGCTCCAGATTCTGTCTGCTCAGGTTTTGATCAATTTCCCCAATTCTGAAAGTGACGTGAATAAGAACTACGTGCATCTATCGCACCTGACGGTAACTGTTGCATGGCTTTCATGAATTAGGCGCAGGAGTTTAAAAATCTACCATATGCAGCAAATTATCAACCCCATCCCCATCGTACTTTAACAAACGACATGTTTGCATGTTCTCCCTGTACTTGTGTGGGTTTCCTTCGGGTACTCCCACACTCCAAAGACATGCTGGAAGGTTTATTGGCTCCTGTGTAAAACAGCCCTGTATGTATGTGAGATAGGGACCTTAGATGGTAAGCTCCTTGATTGCAGGGACTGACGTGAATGTGTATCTATGTAAAGTGCTGAGTAAATTACCAGCGCCGTCATGCAACGCTGTACTGAAATGAATTTTATACCATTTCTTGGGGATAGGTAGAGCTTTCTTTTGGTGGTATTTAATCACCACTGGGGGTTTTTTTAAAACTATATTTAGGAAAAGTTACTGAAAATTTTGAAAAAAAAGTATTTTTTTACATTGTTAGGAAATAATTATTACCCAGTTGTTTGGTAAAATATAAAAGGCGGGCTCATGTCGGGTAAATAGTCACCAAACAAGTCAAGCATTAAAATTGCGCGCACCCGTGAAATCGCAAAAAACTACCATACCTAAAATTGGCCATAGGCGACGCTTTAAAAGCTTTTACAGCTCATCAGTTTAGTGTTATCAGTGATTGATGGCCCTAGAACTATTGCTCTCATTCCGACGTTCTCTGTGATATGTAATAAGTGCAGTGTAATAGGCGCAATCGTTGTTTCAACACGTATGCGCACCCGACGCATGTTTGCATGCGTGTATCTACGGGTGGGGACTTTAAAAAAAAATTCTGGTGTTTTTATTCTTTTTCATGTGTGACTCTAAATTTTGTTTTTGCAACTTTTATTCTTTTTACTATTTTTTTTCCCACTTAACTTTATTGTTATCACATAGGGGGGCTAGGAAACCCTCTATGTCAGGGATGTCCAAACTGCGGCCCTCCAGCTGTGTTGGAACTATGAATCCCATGAGGCTTTGCAAGATGCTCACAGCCACAGACATGACTCCCGGAGAGAGATGCTTCATGGGATTCGTAGTTCCAACACAGCTGGAGGGCCGCAGTTTGGACATCCCTGTTCTATGTGATAGCAAAAAAATGTGACAGGTCCTCTTTAAGGAGACATCAGGGGTCTCCAAGACCACTAATGTCACTTAGGGACCCCCAAAGAAGCTGAGCTGAGTGGTTTACACTCATCCCCATAGTTAGAGCCGACGTGTGAATACTGAAACTGTCACACGTCGGCTCTATATTTTCAAGAACTGTGCAATCACATATCGCCGATCGCTGAGTTCCCGATCATTTCCCTGCAGTGAGAGGTGACTGTCAGTCACCACTCCCCACAGGGATTCCCCCTGACTGGAGGTACGGGTGGGGGAGGGGGTGGGCACAGCTGGCTATGGAGAGGCAGCTGCCAATCAGGTAATGGGGTGGATCCTGCCAATATTGTCAGGATCCTACTGCGTGGCTCTGCGCTGTCAGCATATAAGGGGCAATAGCCTGCTACATGCTAAATTTTGGTTCAAAAGAGGACATTGGTAAATGTCCTCCTGTGGCCCAAAAAAGAACTAAGATCAAAAAGGTTTGGCCATAGATCTCTTTTAAGTAAAGGAGAACTATGAGGTGAGTGATTTCCACGTATCCTCATTGTACGAGCCGACTGACAATGAAACTGTCACACGTCGGCTCTATAGATCGGGAAGTGAGCGAGCGCATACGGTCGCTTGCTCACCTCTCGATCATCTCCCTGCAGTGAGTGGTGACTGCCACTCACCGCAGGGATTCCCCCCTCCCCACTCCGATCCCCCAGCGCTGACTGGAGGAATGGATGGGGGAGGGTGCGGATACAGCTGGCTCTCCCTCTAGATAGGGAGAGCCAGCTGTCACTCACGCAACTGGGTGGATCTCTACAGCATTGTTGGGATTCATCCCAGCTGTGGCGGTCTTAGTATACCGTGAGCTGTAGCTTGCGATATACTGAGCTTTGGGTCACGGGTGGACGCTATCAAATTACTTACCCCATCGTTCTCTTTTTTTTAAAACACTGTGGGGGGGATTTATCAAAACTGGAGCAGACAGAATTTGGAGCAGTTGTCCATAGTAACCAATCAGCTTCTATCTTCAGTTTGTTCAGTTAAGCTTCAGAAATGAAACAGAGAAGCTGATTGGTTGCCATGGGCAACTGCTCCAGTTTTGATCAATTCCCCTCCTTCGGCAGGGTTCTCACTACTGCCGCCAGCTTCATACCTCCCGGTCACTGAGGTGACTCTAGCAAACTTTTCAGACGTTCGACAAACAGAAGGAGCCATGAAAACGATGTAGCTGTTGATAGGCCACTGGTAATCGTGGTCGGTAGCTCCGCAATCACTCTCACGGCATTGTGGGATGAAATAAGATGTAGGCAGAGGAGAGCGAGAGGAAAATGCCTGCAGTGCTGAGGAGGGCGCGGCTTCCACCAATAGCGGAGCCGGTTGGCTGAGCCACTGCAGGGGGAGGAGCCGCTATTTCACAGGGACGGCGAGTGTCAGAGCGCTATCAAGTCGGGAAAGAGATACACCGCACTGAGGGGGCTTCTCTACACTGTGATAGGTAAGCGGGGTGCACAGACTTGGGGTGCGGGCACGGGACAGGACAGAGCTCTGCCTGCATTGTACACCGGAGCTCTCTGGAGTCTCCCTACGGTATAAGCTGGGCGGCGACTGGTATGGCGTGTATAGAGTGAGGTGGGTGGGTGTCCGAGCCGGGGCCGTGTTACGCTGCGGACCTACAATTGGGGTGACTAGAGGCCTCCTGGTCAGCTTGGACCGGACGGTGCAATGTTAAAGGGCATGCGCCTGAGTCGCCAATTCTGACCCATCACTGCTGATCGCACCCTCCAGCACTGCATGGCTTGCCTTGGATTTATTCCCCCGTTTCAGATTTTTAATGATGAATTGATTTAAATGGCCATAATCTGAGCGGCCATTTTTGTCACATGGGCATTTTTATATATATATATATATATATAATATATCTCACATATAAAAAAAGTGAAAACT